ACACTCTACCACTTGAGCCACAGCACCACTTCCGGCTTTTTTCTTTTTGCTTATGTGGTGCTGAGGAATCGAACCCAGGGCCTTGAGCATGCAAGGCAAGCCCTCTACCACTGAGCCACCTTCCCAGCCCACAAATAGAACTTCTTTGGACCTCTTATTTGATGGCTTAGTGTTGTTTTTCATTTTGAATTATTAGAAGAGGAGGGGAAGAAATAGGCTCATTTTTTTTGAGGGCTTATATTAATTCACCTTTTCCCCCTTCCCTTTACTCTTCCACCTCCCTTGCTGGTGGAGATAGGCCAAGAAAATGGTGTTAATAGATCAGGCGGTTATGAGTTGGACCTCTGAATATAATAAACAGTACCTGAGTGGGTGCAACATTGATTGAGTAATATAAATGAATGCCTTTGAGGGTTTCCCACAGTTCAAACTCCATAACTTGAAAAACAGCTTGGCACATGGCTCTGGCATTGTAGTTAGCATCCTATTCCAGATGGAGGACTCAAGTGGGGGAGGCCCAGGCCTGGTTGTTGACAACCTCATCTAGAGATCTGTCCCCTGAAAGAAACTCACTGGATCCCTTCTTCTGGACCTGGGCAGTTGCACAAATAATCTGATACATGGGCTTGAGAAAATAGGAAAAAACAGGATTCAGATGTTGGCTATTTAACTTTCCTTATAAAACATTGCATTACCTACAAAAAATGACATTTTGCCTAAGTGTTGGCCTCTATCATTCCAGAGGGTGCTGTAGGGTTCCTTTTGGAAGTTCCAATTTATGTATAAATTAAAGATGTGTTTGAGAATGGGTTCGGCTACAGGGCCTGGGAGCTGTCTGTCCCTTAGCACTTTCTGCTCAAGTCCTGCACTTTGAACTACAGTCAACTTCCAGCTTTTTAGTGAGTTAAGAGTCTCATGGGCTTTTCCTGCCAGGGCTGGCTTTGAATAGTCCTCCACAGATCTCAGACTCCTGAATAGCTAGGATTACTGGCGTGAGCCACTGGTACCTGGCTTCTACAAGTCCATCTTGGGTTGGATTTTCACCAAACTTTAGTAGGAGCTATTGGCTAGAAGGGCAAGCTCAGACAGAAGTCAGGGCTTCAACTTTTGAAGTGTTCTCGTTTGAGGGGTTATGCTAATTAATGTTAGCGTGGATTTCTCTCATATATATATTTATATTTATATATATTCCTCTCTCATATATATATATATATATATATATATATA